CCCCGCCTCCCGCCATCCAACCTTCAGATCGAACTAAGAGACAGCAACTGCTGAATGTTTTACATCACTTCTGACAGTTTTTCTCCCAACTTTTCTCCTCCTCCAACTTCCAAACGTATAGCCCCTGTGGGTATATCTACAAAAACGAATGCTTCATTATATGCACACTAAAACCCCAATTTTGCTACTTCAGTATTACAGTGATTACTGAGTACTTGACTAAAATGCAGAACAGCGACCAACAGCAGACGAAGAGGCGGAGGACAACAAGTTAGCAACAGACACATCCCTGGGCAGCTAAGCTCCGTATGTTTAGGCACTCGATACGAGTAGAACTTCCCAGCACAGCAGTTTCAACTAACGTTTCCTCTGCGGTGTTCCTTCGGGCCCAATCGTATGCCCAGAAACCCGTTCTCGGATGGATGTATAATTTTCGCCAGCAGTTCTCGCGTCCAACCAAATGCCTTCCAATCGCTGATACATCCCGACAGTACAAACGGCTCCAAATGCTGCATTTGTGCTCGTACAGCATCAAATGAACCCATCTCGATGTCTTAAACTCATCAAAAACATATGACGCAAAAAAACCATACTTTCGAAATAATTGTTGATCTACGGCTAAAAACCGGCAGCAGTCAGCGGCTGACAGAGAATGGTTCTGAAGATGCCCGAGGAAAACGCCTCGCAAAAGATCTCGAGTGCCACGCAGCACCTACAACTAGAAGTACCAAGGAAAAAATATCGCCGAAGGCAGATCTCATTGCTTTTTTTGCATCTCTAGTCGCACAACTGCTGCTGCTGCTGCTGCTGAACATTGATGAAACGAAGCAAAATGATCGCGAACAGAAAATGCACGCCTAAAGTGGGTGCAGCAGAAAAGAGTCCTCCTCAAACAGCGTTGCCGAACTTTTAATTTCATTGCATATCACTGCAGTGACCAGTGAACATATGTCTATTTGCAGCAAACAAATCACAGCAACAAATCCTGGAAAAGCTACAGCAGACATACAACTTTATTACATCCTGCACAGCGACTACACAAAGAAAAGAACAGCAAATAAACCTCAGGCGACCAACAGAGCAAAATTCAGGGAGAACTTCAGCAACTACGACTTGCCCGATTACCGGAAAACCAGGAAGGAAGTGGTGCTTAGCGCAGCAGCATCAATTTCAGAGAATGCCGGCGAAAAGTGTGCACTGTTAGCGCCGGGACAGAACACAGCTATCTCAGCAAGCAAAACGAGAAGTGCTGTTCTTGAATGATTTCTTAAAATTCATTTCGCGCCCATTTTACATTATATC